TCCGTTTCGTTCCGTTTCGTTCCGTTTCGTTCCGTTTCGTTCCGTTTCGTTCCGTTTTTTCTTTTGTTTGTGTCTAAATGCGTATTTGTGTCTATCATATGACACGTATCTGCCCGGTCGCGCGCTCTTAGAAAAACTTTCGGGAAAATGGCGTGAGCAGGGCTGTACGGCTTTGAGCGAGCAGGGCCGTACGAATCCGTACGAATCCGTACGAATCCGTACGGCCCTGCTCGAATCCACGCACTTTCTCTTTTTTAGCATTTATTTACTTTTTTTCTTCTTCTTCTTCTTTCTTTCTTTTATTTTATTATTTTTCTTTTCGTGAGGGTCATATAATAAAATGGCTGGCAGAGTTACGTCGGGCCGTACGGGAACATATTTGGCTCGAGGTGATGCTGTACGGACCGCTCAGTCAATAAGTATCTATTCGTAGTGAGATTTACAATTGTAAATGTAAGAAAAACCCAATGAAATAAAGCTCCATTTAACCAGTTTATTTGATAAAGATCAATAGAGGTCGTCAATTCCTCATATAATTTCTCTTACTATAAATATCACCGCGTGTGGTGTTAAGGGGAAGACTCTAAACTGAACAACCATTGACTTAATGCCTTTTTATATCGCCATAACACATGACCTTGACGTAAGTAATAAGTATAATATAATCAATATATTTTAAATCCTGACACAGGGAGACTGATGGATGGGTGTATACTGATGAGAATCCATACTTGATATCAATTCTGTGACTGGCCGGATATAATAAAACCGCCAATCAACAAGGTGAGTTTAAAAGAAATATAACGTAAACTAGTAGTGTATATACATTACACCTAAGCAGTACAACATCACCAAATCCCCGGTAGTCTCCGGTATATATCGGGCGATAGATATATTCATATAGATTTATTTCAAGGTTACACATTTCTTCAATACTAGAACCCGTTATGTTATATATTTTTCATAACTCAAATCTTGTTGTCGGCTTATTCTAGTATAACTAATCCATCGCACTTTACCTAATTTGTTCGCAAAGACTATGGTTCCTGATAGTAATTTCCCAAACTGAGCTGTCCAGCTTGACTCTTTGCTACTTAATGAATTACACAAGAAAGCTGCTATCTGTGGTCGTGGCGGGTGAGTCGAAGGTACATCTATTTCTGCTTATTAATAAAGCCCTGCAGCTGCTCGTGACGTCATGAGTAGAATGAAACGGCGACAGCGTAAAGCACGAAGATCTACAAGCTCCACAGAAAACCAAATGCCCAACGATATAGCTAACGGGTTTGTCAGACCATTCTGGCAGGCTGAACTACAGAATGAAAATGGTCACCCCATGATGAATGGGATTCGACTAAATGACTTGGATACTGTAAACAGACATTTTTCGAGCCGTGCCGAGGGCGAGAAGTCCGAAGCGAATGGGTTTCTAGCTAACCATCAGCAAAGACTAGAGAATGCCATGCTTAATGCAGTGCGCGAATTCAATCTATTGGCCCTGGAAGTTACACTCAATCATTATCTTGAGCTTTTAAATCTGGATGGATTTTATGAGAACGATTCTTTAGAGTCTTGTGATTCTAGCAAACCTATAAACTTCTTACCTTTGATTGTTGCTGCACAACTTGGAAACAACGAAGCCATAAACTTGTTCCTATCTAAAGGATTTGAAGTTCAGAAACCTCATAATGTCCTGTGTAAGTGTGAAGAATGCATGAAGGATGAATTTAAAGTATCTCAACAACGGCTGGACATCTATCGCGCCTTAGCAAACCCTGTGTATATCTCCAACACTAGTAAAGATCCCTTCAGCACGACCTTCAAACTCAGTACAGAACTCGAAATCTTATCTAGACGTGAAGATGAATACGAGAAAGATTACTTGGCTTTAGCTCAGCAGTGTTGTCAGTTTTCCTTGGGTTTGTTAGATGAATGCAGAACTTCAAAAGAGCAAAGAAATATTCTAAATTATCCCGGGGAAGAAGCGTCCGAATCGCACTTCAGTGATAACAGCCTCGGCTTGGTAAACTGTGCAATTTTTCACAACCAGAAAGAGGTAAGACAACAATTTCTAGTTATTTTGCTTTTTCTATTAATTAATTTTTGTACGCAAAAATATATTTTGGATTTTGTGTAAAGTTACAACACCATTTCGACAATTTACTTCAAAATGTCTGGTAAACTGAATTAACTTCGCGACAGCATATTTGATCATAATAATTTAAACTTTTTGCTGTAAATTCGCTTTATAAATAGAAATCAACTTCTCATATCTAAATGCGGAAAAAACGACCGTTTCTTGAAGTGGCACAAATGGGATTTACTGAATCATTAAATGTCAGAAATATTGAAGAGGATAGCGAAAAAATATGGCTTTGGTCTTGTGCACAGTTTTGTTTCAAAACATTGTTTTTCAATTAGTTTATATCCGAACGACGCGTTCCCAGATAAACAGCTTTTTTACATGATTTCATCCAACACGATTTACATATGTAGATACGTATATTTTCAATTTAAGGTGAAAAAAGAATGCAATGTTTGCCAAAAAAAGTTTATATCTTCAAATTGCTGGGATCGTTATCAACTTCAATTTCCAGCAGCATCTGATATGAAAATAGATTACAATCTAAACTTTTTCTATTTAGTTTGTGGAATCATTAGACTCATTTAATGAAATCATTGTTTCTCTATCTCCTTCTTTGAACTATCGACAGGCTCTAGTTTGGATGAACGCCATACAGGAAATTTCGAACAGTTATTGGTTTTGAGAGCGCGGTAGGGGGAAAAAAGTTTTTTTAATGTTTTAAAAAAACGCCTTACCAAAAAGAAAAAGAAAAAGAGAATATTCGTATTACCCGTAAAAAAAAAAAAAAAAAAAAAGATTTAAAAAACGTGTTTCAACACGTACGTGTAACCTTTGATTTTGCATAACAGTCAAATCAACTTGGAATTCATTTTCGGGCATGCCTATTAGATATTCTTGGAAGAAAGCACAATATGTCTACAATAATAGCATATCATAATAACCCAATCCATAAATGAAAAGTGTAATTAATTTGCGTAAAAAAAATATTTGAAGAGGTCTAAACCAGTAATTCAAACCACAGCGTGAAAGATACCTAAAGAACATTCGCTGGTTCTCATTATAATAAATTGGGAATTTTTATTAGTTTGGCTTAACACTCCCTACTACAGTACCAAAAAACTACTCATATTAAAAAAAAGAAAACAATTTAGTGTCGACATTATTTCTCGATTCGATAAATACTCCAAATTTAAGGAGATTTGCTTTAAAATATTGTTAAGATAACGTTCTGTTGAAGAGTAATATAGTCGAGTGTTCGTTCATTCAGTGGGCTACGCTCGATACTTTGAAATTCATAGTCAATTGTGTTGCTTTAGGAGTCTTGTACTTCATGTAAGGTACAAACACGTGAATCATCAAATAGTTAGTAGCAATAGAATAATGTACCAATACGACGTTTTTACCTTTGACAAAAAATAAGAAAATTTTGATAGTCATGAAATGCTAGTCAGTTCACTACTGACTCAACAACAGATGCAATTTTGAACACGTTATTCTGGAGACCATCAAGAGCCTTGTTATAACGTTATAACGTTAATTAAGCTGCCGCTTCCAAGAACTGGAAATCTCCATTGTCAAAACTATTCTATAGATAACGAATTCTCTTGGAATAGTTTTGAAATAAGAAAAAAGTTAAATTTTGAAATGTTTTAGAACCTTTCCAATAGCAATTAGTATTATTTTGAAACACAATTTCGAATGTACTTGTGAAATACTTATCGTGGAGGAAAAACCGAAACAAAAATATTCCAATTTGATAAGCACGTATTTGCAAATCAGATCAAACAACGATAGATTAAACTATCTGGGGTACAAACAAGCGTATCTAATGCCCTATCGCTGGAAAGATTAAGACGTTTAGATTGACGATATAATGCAACAGAACTGAAAAAGTCATTTTCTCAAGTTGATGATTATCATAAACCGGAACGCGAGATAGGAGTAGGTAATACATATGGACAATTCGTGAATCAGCTCTAGTGCCTAGCAACAATTTTGCTGTCAATAAATGTTTATGTTAGTGATTTGGGTATGTAAAGACAAGAAAAATAAAATGTTTTAGTTAAATAAACAGACAGAGTGTCTGTACTTAGTAGCGAAGAACACTTGTATACTAAGATGCTGCTTGGTATAAGTTTTAATCCGATCCACAGCCGGTTTTTTAAACAGACATTGATCGAGTAAGAAGTAGGTGTTGAAGGATAAGTATTAATGCTTCCCTTGGCTCTTTTTAATTAAAATATAAAAGACGTTCAGTTTCAAAATTAAATAACTAGTATTAAACACTCAAAATGGTAAAATAGTGATTGCCGAGGAAGAGGTTTAGGTATTTCCGTGATTTTTATTATCCTTTTTGCCTTCCTTCCTTCCTCCCCTTTTGGCAGAAAAATATATAGATCTATGTATCCTTCTTTGGTTTATCGTCTCTCGTTACGTACATAATTAAGCATCAGATATAAAGAAAGAAAAAGGTATCTACTCAGGTCACAGCCAACCCATTCATAGTGAGAGTGAGACATTACCAAGGGTTACGTAGTGCCTTTTTTGGACGCCTTTTGTGGATGCTAGACACGCTGAATCTTGCAACAAAAAATGTTATCCATCCCATCCATCCGTCCGTGTATTCATTCATTCGCTTGCTCATTTATTTATTCATTCATTTATTTATCGTCATTGTTCTCATGTGATGTTCTTGTCACTGTTCTGACCCCCAGGAATAGACTTCTACCAAGCTCATGTCTTTAATTCATGCAGTCTTAGAGCGCGGTTTCTTTAGTCTTTCATTGACGAATGAAACCCATCTGAGTATCAAAAACTGTCCGCTGTTATTGCCTAATTGTATCAGATGTAAGGTTTACTTGAACAAACTAGATAACCCTAGTGTTAGCTTATTGGCGCCTAGAGACGGAAGCATGAAAGAACACTGTTTGGACATCGAAATATAAAGTAAACTAGAAGGCAAACAGGAGAGACTAAAGAGATCTTGGGGATATCGCGATATACACACACAGTGAATACATGATAAACATTGTCAATTGATACTAGTTGAGTGACATTTATTTTGAATATGTATCGGCATAGATAATTTTAATTTATCGGTCCATTCAAGACGATTTTGATTGTATTTGATAAGTATTTTTTTAATTCTATTTTAACGTTTTTCATAAGTAAAATTGATTAAAATGAAAAATCACATGACCAATGAATCCCAAGACCAGTAAAACGAAAAGCCAATCAGAATGCTAGAAAATGTATGTATTAGCCAATCAGAGTGCTAAAAAATATATATATCAAAATAACCAATCAAAATACTGGAAAATGAATATATAAACCAATCAGATTATGCGTAAAAGTGAGTATCTGTTATGCAAATAACTGTTTTTTCTGCACTAAAGCAATACTAATTGGTTCAAGAACCAGCGCTCAAACCAAACATTCAACCACTTAATTTTTTTCCTTTTTTTCAAATACAACTTTGTCTCAATTTTCCGCCCACCAAAAACGCTTCAATTGAGCTAAGTATTTTAATATATCACTCTTGAGGTCTTTTGTATCTTCTTCTAATAAGTTTTTTAATTGTTTTGCATTTTTTCTCCTTCTCACATGTTCGACCACGCATTCTAAGTAAACCCAGTGTGAGATATAGTCCGAACCTTTTCAGCCAGCAAAACATGTCGTACGATTTTTGATTGTTTTTATCTTTCATGAATTGAGAAACGAGACTCATTACGAAGCGACCAAGGCTCACTCTAAAATACACCTGCTATACTTATAGAAAACAAGCTGAATTATTTGAGTCCAAACAATCGTGCATCTTATCAAAGGTTTTAGTCAGATCGAACTTGAGAATGATATCGAGCTAAAATCCACAAGATTTCATTTAAGATTTTAGTAAGAATCACTAGTTCTCGTAAACATCTTTCAACGGCAACAATCTGTTCCATAAGGAATATTTAAGTAAAGCCTAGCTTGATACTACCATAAACATTCTCTGTCATCCTCTGCGGGATTCATTCGTGTTTATGTGTTCATCTTCCTTTTGTGGTGGCCCATTATCAGTGACTGATGTTGTATGCTTTTAAGCAAAAAAATTGGTTTTAAGTAGTTTATTTTTTCCGATTTTCAGTGACGAATCCTCTCTCCACAAAACCTAACTCGCTAAATTCCAATTCGTTCTGTGAATTAGCCTGACTTTGATCAGTCCAGAGGCAGTTTCAGGGTATCGACAATGTTTGTTGCTATCTTTTATTTTCTTGTACTCTTTTCCTCCGATGAAGGACTAACGTCCGAAACTTTATTATAATAGTTATATTTTTACGCAATGTTTAACCGTTTAAACATATTAGTTTCCATCTGAATAACTTCTTTTGATTTCTGGTTATCAAAGACTAAATAATAATAAATGATAATTTTAAGTCAACATTGTTTACAACACATGAACAAAATTTTTCGTTTTAGTAAACAAGTTTTTTTTAATTGCTTTTCTACTCATATTGTCCGCCAAGCAGGACAAGAATTAGGGATGCTGTCAGCCATCTGGGCACTCAATTTAATGCAAAAACAACTAGGAAAACTCATACATCTCCATGGGAACAAACACTGAGAAAAGAGAAGCTATAGACGGCGCTCATAGATAAGTCGTTCTCCTACAACTTCAAGTCATTTCGAAAACCTGATTGAATTGATAAAAGTTTACAGTGACTAAGCTTCCGTGAATAGACGGGTAGCGAACTATGCCTGTAGTGCATTATCTTTCCTCAAATCCGTCCCATAACTCTTTATAAATATAATTAGCTTCCAAACCAAACTCCTATTCAATAGACCTAATCGTTTCTTTTCATTTTAAGCCCACGATTTATATATTCCCTTGAGAATAAGCCTTTGTCAGAGTTCTATTCGCTATTATATATATTTTCTTAAAAGCGTTATTCACCATTTTCCATACATCGGTTCACTGGTCAAACACAAAGCGCTCAAGCGAGGCGCCAAGGTATACTTTTAAGGGATTATTCAAGTTTGAACTTTGCAACCTCGGTGGTACGGTATAGCCGGGATTATACGGTATATTAAAATGGAGTAAATACTAAATACAGTGTTGTATATTACCCACAGTTCGTTGCACACCCGTTCTGTCAACATCTGATCATGCAACATATTTTTGGAGACATAACTGGATGGAGAACAAGCAGCTTCATCTACAGAGTGTTCTACGTTATTACACAAGTTATCATCTTTCCTTTGATGGCAATAGTTTACTTCTTCTTTCCTTTCCTTCACGTTAGTCGCAAAATAAGGCGACCTCTGATCAAATTCATCAATCACACTGCTTCGTTTGTTACGTTCCTTGTTCTGCTTGCCGTATCTTCGCACCACAAGTTCGGGATCAGGTTCAAAGAAATGCCCTCGTATTTAGAATGGATGATATTAATGTGGATTCTCGGTATTGCCTGGTCTGAATGCATCCAGGTCTGGCATGAAGGTGTCACACGATATCTGTCTAGTGGATGGAATTGGATGGACATGGGAATGGTGTTTCTTATATTAGGAGCCTATATCATATGGACTATCATGATTCTACTAGATCTATCCAAACCAGGAGAGCTTCTCCATGATATAGTGCTTAGCACGGCTGACGGCATGTACTCATTCGGCGTGGTAGCCAGTTTCTTCCGTCTCGTATATCTCTGTCAAATTAGCCGTTACCTTGGCCTACTGCAGCTTAGCTTAAGCCGAATGGTTCGTGTCATCTTTCAATTTGCATTCATCAGTTGCGTCATGCTTGCATCATTTTCCGTTGCCATGACGATGTTGTTTATGGTGTCATTCGAAGCATACGGGAAAGAAAGACCACTAGCGTACAACTCAACGATGTTGGAATCCGTTCTTGACAAGGGATATCACAAGTAGGTTATACAGTATATATAGACCCTTTGACTACTAGTTACAGCTTTATTACACAGGGGAGGGGTGGGAAAGTAGATTGTCCGGGAATGGATTCATGTTTTATAAGAGGGATGAGTAAAATACTTGTTCTCGTACTGGATTTCATATCCGGTCATTGGCAAATATTTCAGGGACTGAAAAAACCTTTATTCCACCTTTGTAAATACGTGAATCTCGTGAGCTGTTTTACTCATAGTGTAAATCTAATAATTACTAATATACTATAATAATATCTTCAATTATTTCTAGCCTATTGACTACGATGGTGACCCTAATGTGGGCTAGCCTCGACATGGTGGGGCTCGTCAGCCTTGAAGTATTCAGAGGACAAAGCCTCATACAGTTCTGGTCAGCGGCATTGTTTACACTTTACCACGCAGCCTCCATGATTGTACTTCTCAACATGTTGATTGCAATGATGAGTAATTCCTACCAACAAGTCGAGGTAAGAAAGCCTATCACGTGACGACTTAGTAACCTTTCTTTTACATTGGACATATTTTTAACCAAGCCTATCAAAGAGCCAACCTTTCTTTAGCGACCATTTATTCCCAACGAGGTTTTAACAATAATTCATACCACGTCATTTATAAACAGCCAATTTGTATAATTGGTCACTTGACAAGTCACAGAGGGTGGTCTTTAACCATTTATTATAGGTTCAATTATTGATACTTGATTAATTGATATAACTAATAGTAATGAAGAATGGTTAAATAAATATAACGATATTAATTAGAAATTGATGTTATAAAGCGATGTTTTAAAATATAACAATATTATTAATGATAATCATAACAACAAGATATGTAAATCAGCATTGAAAATTCAAACCACTTTCGCAAAACGAGGGATTTTAGAATAATTCTAAGTTAAGACAAATTTTTCGAATACGACAATTTATAGGAATGTTGCGGCCGCGATTAGATAGTTCTAGCTAGTTCTCGCGGCAACACTACTGACTTGCTAAGTAACTCCTTGGATATGAATAAGAATCGTACTTGAATGACATCCGTACTGACGTGACATGAGGGCAAGAAACGCTTTTGTTGCAGTGAGATATATTATAGCAGCAAAAGTAAAAATAAAATAACTTACTTGATTATCGTAGGCTAGCTACTGAATAGGAGGCCAGAAACCAAGATTTCGAATCCGCTCTTTAGCAAACGACAATTTATCATTGGACCGTTTTTTGAGGTGATGTGAATAATAATGAGTAATGATGTGAAACATAAGCACGAGCAGCACGTGGATATTTTTTGCACGTGCATGTTGCAAATTTTACTGGTATTTCTGGCTCAAATCGGCAGGGAACTGGTTTGGAAACTCTGTGGAATCCATCGTTTACTCCCATTAGTTTTTATTTTTTATTATTATTGAAGTACGTACAAGGGGGGAACTTGAAACTTTGGGATCCAGATGCTATGACGGGAAAGGGTACAGATACTGAATAGATCAGTTTCGAGTTCCAAATTACCGCTGTGTTCCTTGATTGTAGACTCGTTTACTCAGGGTTAGCCTCGAATCAGTGTCTAATTATGATGCAAAAAAGAGACAATTCGGGAGATCGATCAGTGAGCCTGCATTTTAAGGAATACACTTAACAAAGAGAACCTTCACAAACTTATCATATATTATTTATATATGACTTATTATATATTTAAGCATATTATGGAGTATCAATAATTCAGTCAAATATTTGAGGAAGATAATAAATGATGTGTTACATTAACAACAGGACAACATCGAGACGGAGTACAAGTTTGCACGTACACAACTTTGGGCGGATTACATCGGTGATGGAGTACCAACCCTGCCACCACCAATCAACCTTATACCAACACCTAAATTCATCTATAGAAATCTCTCAAAATTGACCTTCAAGTGCTTTGGATTTCCAAGGAAAGAGCCCTGCCTTCCTGGGGTAAGGAAAGATTTGATAGCAAATACAGTATATTTTATATCGCCTCACAGACGATATTTTAAACCCTTTACAGCATATTTGATTCCCAATGCAGTTTCAAAAACAAAACAACAGAATCGTAATAGGACGTTTACAAGATGGCGTCATTAACCTCTACTTCCATCCAGATTCCCTTGCACCCTTTCTTTTGTCCTGTTAATTAGCACCAACTGTCTTATTATTATCATGAGGGAATACAAATTTGAATAAGAAAGAAAAATTCGCGAAGCATCTTGGTAGTGTGAATCAAATAAGTTCATCATGAAAACGTCTATAAACCCGGGCCTTACATCATTTTTCCATAGTAATTCAACTTGGAAGACAAAACTATTATAGAATTTTACAATCCTGAGAGCTTAAATCCATCGTTTTCCCCACCCCAGATTAGCTGCTCTAGAATTGCTGTAATTAGTGATCCATAGTTTTCTTTGCGTCATTTCCTTGCTGTGGGGGATTCTTCGATTGAATAAGCCTGAAGCGAGATGACGTTTTACCCCCGTCTCTAGACCATAATCCTTTTCACACTGCTTTTGTTCTTTAATTATGACTATTGTTCCTGTATTCTCTAAGGAATCAAAAATTTTAATATGAAAGAATTTTAAAAACTATTATGCAATAGAGTCGGGGGTAAAACGTCATCTCGCTTCAGGCTTATTGATGATTGACGTTTGCCCCTCAAAAAAAAGCCTGGGAATGACACTCATGCAGCTGATTTGTACCAAGCAACAAGCCTAACCACATATTTTTCCCATTTTGAATTAATCCATTATTTATTCTATGAGTATTCCTCTGAGTATTATTTCTTCCTCCCCCATGATAATCACTGCCCGGAGTAAAGGAGTAGCCACATTGACTAGTTTTATTCTCAAATAAAGTTAAATACTTATATCCTGAAATGGGAAAACTGTATGCATAGAAAGATAAGATCCCAAGAAAATTGAAATGTTCGAGAAAGATGGGATAGGCCTTGATAGCACTGATTACTAAACAGCAAGCTATATACCCGTTAAAAGTATCACCTGCCTTGCTTCCTGGGTCAGTAACAGGATAATTAAGCCTTGCCTTAGTTAGACATCATCTGTAATAGAATCACATGCCGTGCAATTGTAGGGGAGCTTGTATCAGTAATGGAAATAGAAAATATCAGAATCTAAAAAAAATAAGAAAACTGAAACAATATATTTGAAGGTAATCTTGTGGTCTGTCTCGTTTTCATAGTTAAAACCGGTTTTTCTTTCAGCACCAGTTCAGGGTTTATGTCGAAGAAGGGAAACTTGACATGGAGCAAAAGAAACAGGACTACAAGGTAAACTGAAAACACTAGTTAGTTTGGGTCCACATGGGTTAGGTATAAAGCATCTAAGTGGTCCAGTTATATCATCCTTTACCTCCTGGGCGAATCTTCACGCTGTAAAATCGAATCAATATGTTTAGTAATCGAAAATTCTTCACATGTCCCCCTCCCCTCCCCCTACTCGTATTTTAGTCGTAACAGTGACAATTTCAAATGCATATGAAAGCATGAAAACGAATGAATATGTGAATACAAGAGTTCAATCGCAATGAAGATCAGGCATTAGGTGATATTAATCGGCCTAGATAGTATCGGTTGACCAATCAGGCCTTGAGAATTTTTTTTTTAAATCCATGAATGGATTGGATCCGATTAGCAATGTCCCTTACCTCGAAAACTTGCATGAGTTATTATTGTACCCTCAAGGAATCGCCTACGGCCAGTTAGGCTGATTCCTGGAGGAGTTAATGTCGACAAGCCCTCGTGAAGAAACTGAGAAGAAACTGAACAGGAAGTATTTTGCAGATCCAAATTTTTTTCGAGTTTCTAGAAGATTAATATATGCATCAGTTAGGCCGGAAGAGTATCAACTTACTGGGAGTCTAGACTCACTCCGGGTGATATCATTTAAACAACACTTAACTTTGAAACATGCAGAGAAGGCGTGGTACTTTTAAACTAAGTGTTGTGGAAGTAATGAGTGCAGGGAATATGGAGACTTTCTTTTTCAAACCCATAAATATATTATCATAAATTGTTAATATCTCGCGCACTGATTGGCTTGTAATTTTTATCATCGATAAGACGACATAACAAGAAGCTGACCTTAACGAGCGCGCGCTCTTTCCGTTGGTCTTTTTGATCACTGAAAACAACGTCGAAAAAATGCGTGAATTTTTTTTGTGGTAAAAACAAATCAAGGTCTCTTTTCCATGGTCTGTACTTTTATCGACTAAGGAATGGCTTGGATCCAATTTTTGAAATGAAACCAATCGCTCGTGGTTTCTCTTGAGTATGGATCATATGTTGAGAGCATATGTTCGATAAGAGTACACACCATAGAAGAGACCTCGATTTGCTAAATTCATGAGTACAAAACAAAGAAAATTACTAGCTTGAAGTAGGTTTGGAATGGGATCTTAATTAGCATAAAATTTGGGCAACTGTACGCATCGTTTTTCAACTCACTTCACGGTGTTTGGAAATGGAATGAAATACTCTTTCACTGGTTTTACGTATAGCTGATCTAAGTCAGGGCATGGCTAACTCACAGATAGAACCCTGAAACAACCTCTGGG